GAGTGGATAGATTATAGATGGATGGATGGATGGATGAGTGGGTAGATGGATTAGTGGGTGGACGGGTGGGTGGATGGATGGATGGATGAGTGGGTAGATGGATTAGTGGGTGGATAGGTGGGTGGGTGGATGGATGGATGGATGAATTTGGAATGGATGAGTAGAGTGAGTGGATGAGTAGTGAAGTGTGTGGGAGGGTGGATGGATGAATAGATGAATGAATGAGTAGATGGATTAGTGGGTGGGTAGATAGGCAAATAGGTGGATGGATGGGCAGGTGGGTGGATAAATGGATGAATGAGTTGCTGGGTAGGTGAGTTAATGAGTAGCTGAGTTAGTGGGTGGATTCATGGTTCTGTGGGTGGATTAATGCATAAGGATTGGTGCCCATCTGGATGGCTGGATGTATATGTAACAGATATATGTACAGTTGAGCAGATGAGTGCATGGTAGATACGTGCATATTGGAGTAAGAATGGGTTTGAGAAATAACAATACTGGTTTTTTGTCACATTCCCGGCATCCTCTAACAAACGCCACAGCAGCTCTAGGAGTTCAGAATTCTCTGTCCCTCTTCAATCAAGAGGGGTCTGAGACTCGGAGATGCTCAACACCTTAACTAAGATCCCATAGGCATCAAGTGATGGAGATGAGGTTGGAGTCAACCTTCAAGCGGGGCCACAATGCTTTCCCAACCACAGAGGTATTACAGGGCTGGTGAGATGGCTTAGCAGGTAAAAGGTGCCTGTCACCAAGCCTGACAGCCTGAGCTGAAATCCTGGCCCCACATGGTAGAAGGGGAGAATGACCCAGCAAGTCCTCTGACCTCCAACATGCATACATGCCACACACACTCACACACACAAAATAAATAAAATGTAAAAAAAAAAAAAATTATAATTATGTGCAAGAGTGCATTCCATCTGAGATTATGCAGCTCTTGGCGATCATGTTCAGCACAGAGCGTGGAGCCTGGTGGTACGAGTAAATTCTTCTAACTTCCCAGCAGTGGGTAGAAGGGTGGCACCAGTATCTCCCTGATGACTCAGCTCCACTTTCCTGTTGCGACTGGTCCTAGGGAGGGGCCTCCTGAGAGTGGAGCTGCCTTGCCAGGTCCCCCATGCCCAGATTTCTTAGCAGACACTGGGCTTTGCAGGGCCCAGGTGCCCACTCCTACCTTCTCAAACTCGCCGATGGGAGCAGGGCAGCTGGTGGGGTCCTGGCACACACACATCGGGGTGTTGCTCTCATCCAGCTCACACACCTTGCCGTGTTTGCAGTGGTGGTTCTGGCAGGGATCTGGAGAACAGAACACAGTGTCAGCTCACCAGGCTGGCACTTGCTCCCATACCGCACAGACGGGGTGTTGAGGCTCAGAGCTTTTGGCCGTACTCCACTCCCAACCCCCAATCCTCTGTGCTCAGCCATAGAGTTTGGGGGAGCAGTTGGTTCAGTCTGGGGGTGAACAGTTCTAAGTCAGGACTAGGCCATTTTCAGAATGGAATCTCAGTCTGTAACTCAGAAATCTGGGGTGCATATTGACACGTCCCCCGCCGTGACTGAAACAACATCTAAATTCTCAGCTCTCTGCTGAGCAACCAGAGCGCAGCATCTCTGGATTCAAAGCACTTTATAGAATGACTTGGAAGATTGAGCTGTTGTCATGGATTCAATGAGCTGTAAGGTCTAATGGAATAGAATCGGGTGTCTGAAAAGGAAAAGGAGGAAGAACTCAGGCCCACATTGGACAATAGGCCCAGCTATGACAGGAAAAAATGTCTGGGCATGGAGGAAAAAAGGGATATGATTCAAAATCCCATGCCTAGCCCCTGCCCCAGCAAGCCCTGCCCAGCTCTTTCCAGATACCCTTAACTCTCCCCTTGAGAAAGCTTAAGTGGGTGCTGGGGATTCAAACTCGGGTCTCTTCATGCTTGTGTGGCAAGTGATCTTACCCACTGAACCATTTCCTCTGGGCTTCTATCTGCACCACTGCTTTGTTAAGATATGGAAGCACTGGCTCAAAGGATTCAAACAGGGTTTGACATCAGTGTCCTTGACCCCTTCGACACAGATGTGCCAGTCTGTGGGCTGAAGCCTGGGACCCTGGGTCACCACCCCTTCTCTGCTTGAGGCATTAGAACTTACATCAGGATCCCTTTCCTACAGGCTCTGTTTCCTTGGGCCAAGTGGAAACCGAAAGAGCAGGTCAGTTTCCTCAGCTGGGCTCCCAGGAGGAGCTTGAGCTGGTTGAGGAGATCTTGGAGAGCAGATGTTACCACCATGACCTCCGTGGGAATGTGACACCCAACTGTGGAGTTTTCCTCTGCCCTTCACGACTGAGATGGCCTAACTATAAATAGATCTACCCCAGGCTCCCATGGCCTGAGGATTCCCAGCTGGCCCTCCACAGCTGCCGGAGCCCCACAATCCATCCTCTTAGCCAGAAACTTCCTGTGAGCTGTCCTCAGCCTCCAACTACGCAGCCAAGGGCCATCCGGGTGTGCCAAGTGACAGGGAAGAGACTTACTGTCAGCCACCACGTCCTCAACAGTTTCCTCGGCACCATCCTCAAACTCTCCCATTTCCACCTGGACTGGGTTGGCACCCACAGGTAGCTGACATGGAAGAGAAAAAAAAAATGAGTTCAGGGGTTCTCACCGACCCCAGACCTGGGAGAGAGTCACTGAGGAGAAGGGGCCTGCCTGAAGCTTCAGAACCCCAGAAGTGAGTGTGAGGGACATATGGGAAGAAGGTAGCCTAGGCCCAGATCACAGCACAAATGCAAGGGTGGTGATTTTGGTGGATTACGGTATTTATTATTAGTTTGTACAATGTATTATTCTACATTAAATATGTCTAGAGACCCAACGTTCCATTAAGATGAATCAGAGGCCTCCAAGGTGTTAAGACAAGAAGGCATACCAAGTCATCTACCCCTACCAGGGTCCCTTTGTCACATGTCAAGGGACGCTGTGGGTGATAATGGAAGAAATCCGAAACCCAAACACTTCTGAATCCTCCCAACCTCAGGGCTCAAGTGAGGGTTTGGGGAACAGTCAAGGACGTCTGGGGATACTCAATTGAATATCTGTGCCCTGTGCTCACACAAGGAGAGAGTGAATGTCCTGTTTCAGCGAGGAGCCTCGCTGAACTTGTCTGGATGGCCCAAGGAAGGAACCAGGCAGAAAGGCGCCGAGGGTTGAGCCACCACCACTGTCACACCACAAACATACCCCTGTCTCCTCCACCACGGTTTCCTCCGCCACTATCTCCTCAGCGGCTTCAGTCGGCTGCTGGGAAAGAGAACAGGGTTCAGAGCGTTGGTCAAAGCCAAGGCCACTTCTCTCTGAAGTGTCTGTGGCCGGGAACACAAGGTCTCAAGATGGACCATACAGTGCAACTCCATTCTCCCTCCTTTCTTTAAAAACTTTTTGTTATCACAATTATTTTATTCGTATGAGTTTTATGTGTGTATCGGGGGGGAGAGTGAGCACACACACAGTTTGGGCAGGATCTTGCTACAGCGTCCAGGCTGACCTTGAACTCGTCAATTGTTTTAGCCTTCAAGAGTTGACATCAGGGGCCTGAGCCATCACACTGGGTTTTTGTATACTTTCCACCAAACCAACGACCCCATCCATTATTTTACTGAAAGGAGCCTTTCTGCTGGCCAAGCCCCAATACAGCCTGAAAACAACAGAGGCAGATGAATGCCCTCTCACTCTCAGATGGGGAAACTGAGACCCAGAGAGAACGGGCATCCTCCGTGACTTCTAACAGAGAGTGAACTTTCCCCCCTCCCCCCGCCACGTGACTTCATTCTATAGCTGTTAGGAAATTCCCTCCTGGCATCTCAGCCTCCGGGAAGTGTAGGTGGGGTGGGCACAAAACTTTGAGGCCCCTGACTGGATACAAACCCCTTCCAAAATTAAGGGTAACTTCACCAAACCTTCAGTCAAAATCTGCCTGCCTGATGTGTTTGCCCGGAGCTGCCATCTACCTCCTAGTGAACAGAACAGGGAATGCCAGTTTGAAAGGAGCTGTTCCTGGCTGGGAGTGGTGGCACACGTAACGCCAACCATCAGGAGGCTGTGGCACAGGTCAGAGTATAGGGAGACAAACCAGGAGTATATCATGAGGGAGGAGGGGGATGGGCCTAGGACCTCATTTGACTAGACTGGCTCTCTTTGACTAAGTTTCTTTTTCTTTCATCTTGCTTTTCATCCAGCACATTCCCTGAGGGTGGAGTAATGGTCATTTCTGGTTCATTCCAACCTCTCCCTCTCCCAGCAAGCCTGTCCAGTTCCAATCTTACCACAGGATCCAACAGGGGATGCCCTATCCCAGGCCTCCAACAACCTCCAACATCATGATCTCTGTCTGCATCTTCTCTACCCCCACAATGCAGCGGGAATCAGTTACTTATAACTAAATAGCTTCGTGGGCTCAGAAACCAGCCTGTTCCTTTCTCTGTTCTTGTCCTTTCCCAGCTCCATCCCACCTTCAGGCCATAAACCCTGCTGCTCACTGACTCCCTCAGGGAAGAGGCCAGGTCCTGCTAACGGGAGCCAAAACTAGAGTGCAAGCTCTGACCTGTGGGTTAGAGAGCTTTTTTTTTTTTTTTTTTCCCCTCACCCAATGGTTCCTTCCCACTGATACTTTTAACCTTGTTGGCTTAAAAAAAAGACTTAATTTTTACTTTTTTTTTTTTTTTTTAGATTTATTTATTTTATCTGTATGTGTGTTGTGCCTGCATGTATGCCTGTACACTATATGCATGCCTGGCATCCACAAATGGTCAGGATAGGGCAGCTGATTCCCTGGGTATAAGCCACCATATTGGTTCTGGGGATCTAACTTGGGTCCTCTGCAAGTGCCCTTAACCACTGCACCATCTCTTTAGCCCTTATTTTTATTTTTTAAGAACAGGATCTCATGGGGCTACCCTCAAACTCACTATGTAGCTGAAGCTGACCTTGAACTCCGGATCTTCCTGCCTCTACCTTCCAAATGCTGGAATTATAGGTGTGTTTCCTAAGGCTGGGTTTATGCAATGCTGGGGACTGAACCCAGGGCTTTGTTCGTAAATGCTAATTTAGTACCCTGCCATATCCCTGCTGTAGCCTTGAACACTCAGAGCAGGTTCCGAAGCTGGAGAGAGTGGGATGAGTTATAACTCAGCATCCCTGGGTACTTACAGGCACTGCTAAGGCCCTCCCGGCCAGACAAAGGAGAAAGAAGATCCAGGCCCTCATGGTGCTGGGAACCCTGTGGGGAGGAGAGAACATGAGTCAGCAAGAGAGATTTCCCCCTGAGTTCCTGAGTTTGGAATGTTAACCAAACTCTGCAGTGAAAAGGAAGCCTCATTTAAGTCTGGCCCTTTGCACCTTCAACACCCATTGTCCTACTTAATGCAAAAAGCAGACCTGGCCTGGAGCCTCCAAAGGAAACTCTGCAGCTGCGAGCAATAGAATTGTTTTTTTTCCTACTTCATGGTGTCCCGCCCCCACCCTTCAGTTTCCTTCTATTGAGAAGAAAGGTAGAGTTTTCTATTTATGGTCATGAGATGAAGTCTTTGCTCTAGTACATTTATTTCGGTTTTTGAAAGTAATTAGACAAAAACGACAGGCTCAAAAGCCAAGTTTGGGCCTTCAATGCCTCTTCTTCTAAGACTTTTGTCCCCTCTTCCACAAGCTTTAGCTCCCTCCACTCCCCCTGTTCTCACCCCCCACTTTTCCTCTCCCTCCCCTTCCTCCTTCTCCTCTTCCTCCTCCATTTCCTCTTCCCCTCCACAGTCTCTCCTCTACAATGGGAGAAGTCAACAGGAATCACAGACAATGAGACACACTTAAGACAAAGCCCAAGAGTATGGGATGCCTGAAGGAAACTAGAGGGATTACATTTTTCTTCACTTTGCCCAGAGAGACAGCATTTCTTTAGATTCTTCAAGGACATATGGTACAGATGTGTTCCATCCAGATTTGTCCCAGTGTTTCAGAAGGGACGGCAGCTAAGATCTAGAACGTTCCCCTGATCACTGCTCGGACCCAGCTTCTAGATGCTGAACTGTGAACTCTCACACGCAAGCCTGGAAAGAATCTTTGGAGCAGACCTCCGACGATGACTCAGGGACCTGTGGTGGGAACATCTGGCTCCTGGTGCTAACCAGACAGGCTTCTGTTACCAAATGAATCTAGAAAGTTCTTCCTAAGTCTGCCTCCCTCGAGCCTGTGGTCTATCCCGTCTCTTTCTACAGCCACACAGAGCAAGCCTGCTCCCTCTGCCCCTCCAGAGCTTTCAGCCAAGGGAACAATGGCAATGCCACCCTTATTGGTTACCCAAGACTTCCCTTTCAGCCTCTCCAACCCTAGCTTCTTCTATGACTTTCTCAACTGACAAAGCTGGGTGCTGCGAAATGCCCTGGCAGCATGGGCAAAGCTACTGGGCTCTGAGTCAATGCCCAGGATTCTCACTCTACCCCAGTGTTGTCCCCATCACCGTGTACAGATTAAATTCTTTGTTGTCTCTAAGCCTTGGTTCCCCATCTGTCAACATAGAGGGTCAGAGGAGGTAAACTTTGAGATGACGGACACGGCCATTGGAACGCTTACATTCCGGTGTGGGGAGCTGAAGAGCAGAGCATATGCTTAGCTTTCAGTCGCAAGCAAGCAAGCAAGCAAGCAAGCAAGCAAGCAAGCAAGCAAACACAGGGAAAGCTGGTCTTGGCATTTCTCCTCTTCCAGTATTCACCTTCTTCTCTCAAATAACAGTATTTGGAAGAATTAAAAATAAGTCTAGATTCCCAAACCTTTTTGAGCTGAGGGTGTGGCACAGCAGTATAGCATCTGGCTAGCATGCATAAGGCCCTGATCCCAGTCTGAAGCACCAGAGAACTATTCAATCAAGCCCTGAGTAGCAGAACAGGCAGAGGAGAAAGACACCATAACGGTCCTGTGCTAGGCTAAACAGGAAAGAGCCTCAGCCGCTACTTCATGGTGTGGGCATGAAGTAAAGCTATAAAGAAATCAGATGAATTGATTTCGGGCATAAAGTAAAGCTATAAAGAAATCAGATGAATGGATTTCGAAGCCTGGCATTGCTTCAGGAAAGCTCCTCCTGGCAGAAGAGTCTAGTCTTTCCTTTCTAGCCAGTTTCTGGAACATTCTTTCCCCTCTCACAGTTGTTCACTTGTCTCCCTTCTTGCTTCTCCATTTGGAAAACACGAGTTTGACATCCTCTGTGTGTGGCTTTGGGCAGATGGAACGGGAGAGAGGGCATCAATGAGGGACTTGTCTGAGGCTGTTTGAAATGAAAACATCAAAGTGAGGCTGGCAGCTAGAGCCCAAACGTCACTCAGTCCAGGCTTCAACTAAAGAGAAGTCCCATCACTAGAGAGGTAGGATAGGACCAGGTTACAGAGCTAGAGAGATGACTTCTGAGTCTGAGTGCCTCATCTGGGTAGAAGAAGGGAATCTTGGGACCCTGAGACTGCCCTGTGCCCAGCATCGTACACCCTCACACTGCCCTGTCTAAGGACCTAAATCCCGGAGTGCTTCATGGTCTTAAGCCCAGAGGCTGGGTGAGGGTATGGAGAAAGGCAGACATACAAACTCTTAGGGAAGATGGTCACTGTCCACATTTTAGTTCTGTCCAATGCTGCTTCACCAATCCCAGAATCCTTTTCCTCTAGCTGTTAGGGTGAGCAGATAGGGGAGTCCCTTAACTACTATGGATGAAGAGCCATATGCCTGTTTGCCCATGAGACATGTCTCTGAGGTTCTGTAACATACCTCTGGCCAAAGAGGCTAGGGCCCACCCTGCAAAGCTTGTAGGAGGCACAGCAGTCAACTCAGCCACGTCAGAGCACAGGGCCAAGACCCTGTAGTCAGTACAAGGCAGCCATGATCTTCCACACTCAAGCCTAAGTCCGACATGCTGGGGAACATACAAATGCCCTTCAGTGTTTGCACAAGCCACTTTCCAAAGAGGGCCTGAGGCAGGCCTTTCTGCCCCATAGTACAGATGAGAAGACTGAGGCCTAGAAAGGAAAACCATGACTCTAGCCAGCGGTCCAGGGCATGAGTAACAAGGATCAGCGTGGTCTCTCTGTGTGCTGCTTCCCTTGGCAGACATTAGGATGGTGCCTACTTGGGCCAAACTGGCCTGAGATGCAGGCAGGAAAAATGCCCTGGGCAGGGGAGGAAGTGGAGGTGTATTACCCTTGGCTTGGTGGCCACCAAATGCAGACACCCCTGGTGGGCACCCTGGGTCTCCCTTTCCCTGTACCGTACATTGAATCCCTTTCTTCTGCCTTTATTTGTTCTGGAGAGAGCTGAGAGCTCAGCCTGGGCTGCCAGCAGGACCTGAAGCAGAGGTCGCTCGGCTAGCTCTTTGGATGGAAAAGTACAGCCAGCCCCCAGCTTACTTCCCTTCACACCTAAAGAGGCCCCTAGGAGCTCCCCGTGGACATGGAAGTGCCACTGAGCATCAAACCACAGGGACCACCTCAGAACTGTGGGCTTTTAGAACAGTGTGGCTCAGAACCACAGACTCTCGGGATAGCCTAACTTGGATGAAAAGCATGTGAAGAAATGCAATCTCAGAGAACTTCCTATGGGTCTCAAGGAGCTAGGCTGGCTTTGAACTTGATCTGTAGCCAAAGATGGCCTCAAATGTCAGATCTTCCTGCCTCCACTTCCCAGAAGATGGGATTACAGCTCTGAATCCCAGCTCTTTTGTTGGTTTTGGGTTGGGGAAGGTAGGGGCTTGTTTAGTTTTTTTAAGACAAGGTCACACTAAGTAGCCAAAGCTGGCCTCAAACTTGTGATCTTTCAGCCTCTGTTTCCTTGAGCTCTAGGCACCACCAGGCCAGAGCACAGGGGATTACTGAACCTTGAAATGCTGCCAGTGTGAACAACTTGTTGAGAACGCCTGCTCTGAGGTCCAGGGACTTTGCACATGTTGGACAATGACTATGCATAAAATTAAAAACAAAGAACCTCAACAAAACAGGGGTTAAAGGGAGAGCTCAGTTAATAAAGTGCTTGCTATGGCCAGTCGAGCAGAATCAGCAAGACACAGGCCGGTGAAAGACCCTGTCTCAAAAACAAAGTGGATAAAGTGTGAGGAGCAACGGCTGAGGCTGACCTTTGGTTTCCACAAGCACATACACCCAAGTGCATGCACATACACACACAGAGACAGACAGACAGACAGAAACAGAGTACAATTGGGGCCTGAGAGCACGGCATACTACAACACCCCAAACCACCTGGAAATGCCTCTAGGTTTCCCCTAGAACAGCCCCTAAGGTCCCTGTCTGTTCTGAACTCCTGAATTCACACAGCAGATCTGGGGTGCCTCCTCTCCCCATTTGCTCCAGAGTCCTTGCTTTTATTTCTGTTTCTTGTTGGAAGGGATCCAGCCATGGGAAGTGGTTAGAGGGTCACATAGGCTAAAACCTAGAATTGGTTCTGGGCAGCTCAGAGGCGGCTCCAGGGTTTGTGGCTGGACACAGCCCTCGCTGAAATTCCAGAGCCTCCTAAAGTGCCACGTTTCACTTTGTCTAGACCAGGCTGGAGGAGTTCCTGCTGCCTCTGCGCCCTCTAGACCATGTGACTGGCAGCCCAGGCTGAGTTCCAACCCTCTCCAGAACAAATAAAGGCAGAAGAAAGGGACTCAATGTACAGCCATCCCTACTGCCGCAGGGGTGACCACAAATGGAGGCGATAAGAAGCATCAAAGTATCTAAGATGTAACATCTGGAAAGAACTAAGGGATTCCAAAGGCAGCAGCTACATAGCACACCAACCTCTCCACACCCCTCCTGTGTATGTGGCAGACATTACTAATCAATCGTACAATCCTTTCCCCTCGAAGTCTGGAGTAGCATTAGAATTTTGAATGTCATTCTGACGGCCACTACTATTGGCTTACCACTGTAGGCCATGTAATAGTTCTTTACTGTGCCTCTTCTTTAGACAAAGAACTCACAGCTTAGAAAGAGAAAATAACTCACTCAAGTTCCTCTGGTGAGGTGGTTTCTGAGTCAAACATTTAGAAATATCTAAACTTTTCCTGTGATTGGATATTTTTCCATTGAAATCTGAGATCTTAATGCCACAAGTAGGACAGGGTAATCCAGAGAGGTCCCTTAACTAGGGACTTTTTTAATCAGGTTCCTGCAAGGACCAAGCCACTATCTCTGCTCATGGCTTCCCTGATAGATATCTATGACTAGGCAGGTAAAAGCAGAGCTGACTTGCTGCCTAGCACACCACTGGGCAAGGTGGAAGCTGTTTCTCTAAAGGCTTCTGTTAAAGTCATCATTTGCTGGCCTTGGCCCTGACCCTGTGCAACCCAGCTGTCCCAGAAGTCACAAGCGAGGCTTGGAGGGAGCAGGAATCCACACGACAGTATAGGAAAAAGGTAGCTTACCCAATCCACATGGATGGCTGGAAGCTGGTGCCAGCCTCCTCTTCTAAGTTGGAGGCTAAGAAGGGGCCAGTGGAAACCAACTGAGAAGCCACTTTACAAGCCACGTTTGTTGGGCCTTTGTTAATGACCAAGTCACTCAGGCTATGGTAGACCAGCAAAGGGAGGGAGGAAGTGTTGCTAATGATGTAGTATGAATGATTTAGAGCAAGGTCAGCTCCAAACTGACCGGAACCTGATAAGGTTCCAAAGATCTGGAGCCTGGGCGCAGGCAGCAGACAGCTGTATAATCTCCAGCGAGTTTCTTTCCCTTTCGGAGTTTCAACTTTTGTATCTTGGAAATAAAGAGTATTTGGGGGGGGGGGGCACTCATGGGCCTGTGTAGGTGGGAGAGAGGTGTGCTTGTATGTATATGAGAGAGAGAGAAGGAAAGAGAGAGAGTTGTCTTCTTCGCACCCAATGGTCTATTTGATGGTATGTGTGTTCGCATCGGGATGGTGTGTCTGTACAGATGGCATTAGGCCTGACTTGGCATCTGTCAGTAGGTGATGATCAGGGTTTAAACACTCACAAGGTGCATCTGGAGGAAGGGCATGATGGCTGGAGGAATGACCCAGCCATTAAAGAGTGCTTACTGCCCTATCAGAGACCGTGTTCAGTTCCCAGCACCCACATCTGGCAGCTCATAGCCACCTGTAACTCTAGATCTGGGGATTTAGATGGCCCCTCCTGGCCTCTGAAGGCGTCCAAATGCACTGTGCTTACACACACACACACACACACACAGAGAGAGAGAGAAAAGACATACATATATTCACACAAGTAAAAACGACTTTTTTGGGGGGGGGGTTATGAGACAGGGTTTCTCTGTGTAGCCCTGGCTGTCCTAGAACTCGCTCTGTAGACCAGGCTGGCCTCAAACTCACAGAGATCCACCTGCCTCTGACTTCCCAAGTTCTGGGATTACAGGCATGTGCCACCACGCCTGGCTCAATTTTTTTTTTTTTAATATTTTTTAAAATATGTACTTAAAGAATCTCTTTCCCTCTGTGTGGTGTGTGTGCGTGCATGTGTATGTATAAGTGAGGAAATCACTCAGGGAGAAGAATGCGGCTCTGTCCTACACTTATTTTTAGCCATGCTGGTGGTAAAATCAGTTATCTACTTACTTGAGCCCGGTGCCCTGTCAGTTCATGTTTGCCTGTTTATCTCCCCAGACCCATCTGCCAGCCCAAAAGTCCTCAATAGACAAACATGCTTTGCCTCATATCCTCTGCTGTTTAAAGTTTATTTTCCATATGGAAAGCAGCAGCTGGGAATAGTAAGCCCAGCTGTGCATTGGGCTGCAGAGCCTACAGCTGGAGGAGGTTCCTCCCAAAGCCATTGCCTCCCAAGCCTTCCTCCCTGCTTCCTGTCAGAGGACAAGAACCGAGACTCTGTTAAACATACAGGGCACTGCTCCTTCCAAGGAAATCAGTGCCTGGCACTAGGGTCAGGGGACATCTAGCTCAGGTCCTCACCACCTGACAGATTGGGAAACTGAGGCTAAGATAGGTAGCATCTTTCTTAATGTCACCATTGAGTTATAACCCATGCTTTTGACCAATACCTTTCCTTCCTTCCTTCCCTCCCCCCATTTCTTTGTGTGATATATGTTGTGATATATGGGGTGTATGTGTGACCCAGAAGTCAGTGTCTTCCTCAGTTGTTCCCCCCCCCCCTTTTTTTTATCTTTTGAGACAGGATCTCCTGAAACCCTAGCTAGCCTGGAACTCACTTATGTAGACCAGGCTGGCCTCTACTTCACAGAGATCAGCCTGTCTCTACTTCCTGAGTGCTGAGATTACGGGCATGTGCTACCATGCCCATCTACATTATTATTATTATTATTATTATTATTATTATTATTATTATTATTATTATTATTATTTGAGGCAGGGTCTCTCACTAAACCTGAAGCTGATGAGTCAGCTGGACAAACTGGCCAGTGAGCTCTAGGGATTGGTTTGTCTCCGCCCCCATCCCCCACCCCCCACCCCCAGCCTTGGGATTACCGGCAGGCCTCACCACAATTGGCTCCTTAGCTGGGGGCTAAAGAAAACAAAACAAACAACAACAACAACAAAAAACTGGGGTCCACAGGTTGAGTCCTGGTTCCAGCCCTGATCACCAGTGGAGGGTGCATTGCTCGTAGAAAATTGACAAGAAGATGCTCAAATTGAAATGATTTTAAACAATGTATTATTATTATTATTTTTTTTTTTTTAATATTCCTGTCAGCGCTTTTGCTAAGGAGATGTTCTCTGGACCCCAAGTGTTGGAGCTGCCAGAAGAAAAAGTACTTTGAATGATCCTGTCTGTGCTAAAACTCAATCCGGTTAGAAGGGAGTGAGGTTGCAGCGCGCTTCCTAATGCATTCAACAGTCCCTTTTCACACCGCTCCTTCTCCAAGGGACTGGTGTTATGCCCCGAAATAGGGAGGAAACCAGAGCTCAGGAAGAAGACAGATTAGTTCAAGGTCAAACACCTTCTGCTCACGGATCCAAGCCCTCTGTCCTATAAAGTTCTAGAGGCTTCTCACAGTCCTGCGCCCCTGGGATGTGGGAGGCGAGGACAGGAACAGGAATTTGCTGTCGTCCTTGTATTTGGGGCTGGGGTGGGGTAGGGTGTGGTGCTGGTGGCGTGGGGGACGGAAACCTGACGGGCCCTGAGCATTCCCAGAGTCCCCTCCTAGCCAGTAGGGAGAGACCCTAGGGGAAAAAAAAAAAAAAAGGTTACCGTGGCAACTCGCATTCCTCTGGAAGTGAGTCACCAGGGAGAAGAGCCTCTTGGTGGGTGGGGCTTGGAGAAAGTTTCAAAAACCGACCTCCTTCTCAGAGCCGCCCCCTCCTCCCGCCCCCTCCCTCTGTGCGGCCCTGTCGATGTGGCAGCTGACGGCTGAGTTAACTCTCTCTTCCCCCAACCGCTTCTTTCTGGTTTAGTTCTTGGCAAACGCAAACTTGTTTCTCTTCTCCGCGTCACACCACTCTGGGAGGTTGGTATCTGATGTTCCGGAATATCTTAAACCTAAAAGCAGTGGACACTCATCCTCTACCCTCCCCTCCCCCACCTCTCTCTCTACACACACACACACACACACACACACACACACACACGCACGCACACACACAACCCTAAGCACACGACTTTCAGGAACTTCCAGAGATGCCCCGAAGCTTATTCAAAGACCACTCTGTAGGCTCCATTAAGGGACCCTGCTTGGAAATTCTTAGCGGAATTTCCAGGTACCCTAAAGACTATCCCTCTTACTTAGGACAGGGAGGCTACAGCCAAGGGAGATGCCAATGTGAGATCGCCCACAAACTGCCTAAAGCTTGGCATCCCATGTAGGGTCTGCGTCTCACTCCACTACCTGCCCTCGGATAGGTCAAGAAACTTAACCTAGAAAATACACTTCCTGTCCTGCAGGTGTGCTGTCTGTCCCTGAGGCAGATGACTGACGCCTGTTCCCTTTGGGTAAGAATTATCTCAGCCATCCTAGGTGTCACACGCAGGAAGTTTACGGGACAGCTTGAAGCAGATGACCATCCAACAGGCTGGTCAGAGAGTCTTAAGTGGGTTCAGCAGTGGGGTGAAAAATGGTCCTGGCGCTCAGTCGCCCTGTCTCCTCCCTCCCCATCACACCTTCCTCTCCTTGTCCTCTCTGGATTGTATCAATTTTTTTTTTCAGATGTCCAGTTACAGTAAAAAGCAACTGTTGGTGAGTTCCTGTGGTGTCCATCTCCTCTCAGAATTAGGATGGGAACAATGGCAATCCCAGGCTGGGAGAGACAATGGCATTTCAGGCTGACTGACGCCACAGGGTGATGGGGTGGGGATGGGCAGAGACTCAAGGGACCTGAGCCTTCTCAGAGGAACTGATTAAAGGGAATGCCTCGCCTTGGCTGTTCACGGATCAGTTTATCCTTCTTGCAAAGTCTCATTTGGACCAACGGTGTTTTAACCCAGAACTGGATGTCCTCCTGGAATAGAAAGCCAGACCCAGCAGGCGGCAAGCCAGACTCTGGGTTGGCAGTTGTGATGGGCAAATGAGGAACAGATTCCCAGAAAAGGAGGCAACTGCCATCGAGAGTGACAGAGGACAGACCAGCAGTCTCTGCCACCAGAGAACACACAGCGAGAAAGCGGTCCCTGCAAATCACGAATATTTTCTGTGGAGCTACGGAGAATAGCAAGTTCCACTGTGAGTGAGCAACAGGCTTCCAGCCTGTGCCCTGAAGGGAAGCCCCAGCTCACCTCCCCCCTGAGGATGGTCATGGGAATGGGGCAGAGGGGCTGATGAAGCCTACAGAAGGGCAGGGGCTGACAGGGTGGTGCATACCTTGGCGCAGGCAGGCAGGCAGGCAGCAGGCGGCAGGCAGAACAGTTCTGGCGATCTGAAGGGCTGCAGGAATGTGGAGGGGTTTAGAGGCAAGCAGCAGGAAGCCACTTGGAGCAATGGGCAGGGTCTGTCTCATCCTCCGCCTCCACTCGGAGGCCCTCCTCCTCTTCTGTCTCCTCCTTCCCCTGGCTGGCCTCCTCCTTCTCCCCAGAACCAAAGCTAACTGTCTTTTCTTTCTTCCTTCCTTGCCTTGTGGTGGTAGGCCATGTCCAGACGCCCTGGCCTCCCCTGCCTCATCTGTTCTGGGGCTGCTGCCTAAACAGACATGAGAGACAGGACTGGAACAGCCGCAGGAATCCAACAGGCCTGGCCTTGTTCAGAGCACAGCTGAGGCCCAAAGAGTCCAAGGCATTACCCAAGAGCCGCAGAGGCACAGCTAAGCCCAGTGTCCTGACCTTATACCCAGCTAGCAAATGTGACTGAGTCCTCTCTCAGAGCAATGTGTGTGTGTGTGTGTGTGTGTGTGACAAAAACAAGCACAGAATTTTCTCAGTGCCAACCAGACAAGTTGCCACTGGTGACATTGGTGGTATCATTCTTGATGATGAAGTGTGGTCTTGGTCTAAAAAGTCCCCTCTAACTCTAGGGGCACCAACCATAGGTTAATGAGGGATTAGAATTTAGCCAAGGTACTTGTTTCCACAGCACATGTACTAAAATTGGCATGATACAGAGAAGATTAGCATGGCAAGAATAAAATGCCAATTGTAAAGCATTTTATAAAAAAAAAAAAAAAAAAAAAAAAAAAAGACTTAGCTGGGAGTCTTGCATCATCAGACCCTGACACAGAGAGCAAATAATATTGATAGTCAGATCAGGAAAAATAGCCAGGGTTGGTGGGGAAGCCATTGTTGACACGGCAGGCTTCCATTTAGGTGCTGCTTGTTTTTGGACAGGGTTGCATGTATCCCGGGTTGACCACTCACTGTGTAGTGAGGATGACCTTGAACTTCTGATCTCCCTGCCTCTACTTCCTAGGTGCTAGGATTACGTGCATGCACTACCATGACTAGTTTATGTGGTGCTGGGGCTTGAACTCAGGAATTGATGCTTGCTGAGCCAGCACTCTACTAATGAAGCTACAACCCCCACCTGACTTAGATACTGTTAAGAGACCATTTTAATAACAAGGGTGCAGGCTCATGCAGGGCGAATGACCTGCCCAACAACGCCTTACCAAAAAGCGGCCCAAGAAAGCTGAGTCTACATTTCAGCTGGTTCTTCTTTTGGGAACATGAACAGCCCCATCCTTGCAGCAGCTCTTGAACACTGTGCCTGCTTACTCAGGAGGTACCAGAATGGATGTTGCAGGAGCTTTAGGTGTGGCTAAAATGATGTAGCTCATACACAGAGCCACTTCCTCAGCGATGCAGACCCCCACAGCGCCTTCCTGAAAGCATAGACGTTGAAGCAGCTGTTGCATTTGGATAACATGGAGTTGGAGAAGGCAGAGAAGAGACTAGGGATAAGCTTCCACACAGGACCCCTGCCTTTCTTGGCATGTTTTCACTTAGCACACTCCCCCTAGCCCACTCTGCCCAGCCAAAGAAGCTTGCTCTCAGTTCATCAGGCACTCCAAAGCCACCGATATGATATCCCCAGCTCTTTGGTCCTTACTCTTTTCTCTGCCAGACACTTTTCCAGCTGATTTTCTTGAGCCTGAACCTTTCTCATTCTTCAGAACTATCTTAATGCCACCTCCTTAGAGAGGCCCTTTGGCCATTAAAGTTAAAGGTCTGCTTACCTCTCTCACAGGAGGGTGGATGCCCTTAGCATCATTTATTTCCTTTCTACACCATCCAGGTCAACATCTGGCATCATGTGCTTCCTTCACTTAACAGCAGCTCAAGAAAAGGGGGCTTCATGCCTCTCTCAGTCTGAAGGTTTTTTTGCTAATTAGTTTTGTTTTTTAAATCAATGAAAGGCCTTCCTGTTTTTCATCTAGCAAATGATAAATCAGGGCCTTGAGGTCTCCAGCTGGGCTTCCTCCAGCTCCCTCCATCTTGCTACAGTTGTGTCCTTCTAGCCCACTGCCTTGGTATATGACTTCCAGCTCCCGGTACCTATTTCTTGCAATGTCAAGGATGGAAACCAGGGCTTTCTGCAAGCCCTGAGCATCCTGCTACGTCCCCAACCTGCTCTCCTCTGCCTTGTAAGGGCCTCACTCCCACCTCTACGTGTGCTTCCATTTCTTTATTTGGCTTTGTTCTTCCTGCCTCCATCTTGTAAGAACACATGATGATGTCACACCATCTCAAAATTCTTAATCTTAATTCTTAATCAACCTGGTCCCGTTCTCCTTGAATGGCTAAGAAATAGAGGTTTATGAAGCCAATGGGCCAGCGCGGATGATAAAGCCTGGGGCCTTGGTATCCTAGCTCAGACCGAGCTGGTGCCAGCTCCGCCTGCTCTAGATACAGGGAGCAGGATCGTGTATCACAGCCTTCAGGGCTGCCCCCTCTGTGTATCTGGCTCACAGCCAAGGCTGCCAGGCTCACAAGGCCAGGCACACCGGAGACTGCCTCAGCCCATTGCCTTGTTACTGCATCTTTCTCCACTCAGATCTTCCCATTGGCTAGAGGACACAAAGATCTCATTGTCATCCAGGCCTTGGTCCCCTGGGCACATAGGCTACTGATTAGGGCAAGGCCAAACACATCGGAGGATAAAATTTGATTTCAACCCTTCGTTCCTCTCACCACACTCCCCCGGGCAGCTGGAAACTCTCTCTCAGTGCTGTGCAGTCCACAAAGGACTTTTATCTTCTGGCCTTGTTGAGTGTCACATTGATTTCATCTGTAAGCGGAGAAGCTGGGGTTCTCTAGGACTACCTTGGCTGAGGCAGACAGAGGGACAGTATAAGAGAGTGGATATCAGGGCTGGTTTTGCAGTCATAACTCTGGGCTTGAGCCTGGGACGAGTTATTTAAATCTGTAAAAGTTGAGGCATGTTAATCAGCCTCAGTTTCCCCAAATATAAACTGTACCCCTCACTTGTTATGAAGTTCTTGTGACTATTAAACCAGGTGACATAAGATGCATTTGGCTCGCTGTCAAATGCCGTAAGCACTCCATAATGTTAATAATCTTTTTTCAGATTTACTTAATTTGTAATTATGTGCACATGAGTACAAATGCCCTTGGAGGCCAAAAGAGAGTGTTGGATCCCCTAGAGCTGGAGTTAATAGGTGGTTGAAAGCCAGCTGATGTGGGTGGGATTTGGGAACCAAATCTGAGGCCTACTGTGGTACAGACAAGCACTGTGAAATGCTAGATTTGTAGAGGCAGAGCTATAGATAAACTGATAGAATGGTTGCCTAGCAGGCACAAGATCTCCAACACTATTTAAAGCTGAGCAAGGTGGTACATGCCTGTCATTCCATCATTTGGGAAGATAAAGAAGGACAGGAACTCAAGATGTGAATGCTAGAATTTCATGTTATGGTTCTGTGCCCTTCCATCTCCTTTCAGAGCCTGCACCCACACCTTTGAGGTGCAGGCTCTCCTCTGTTTTGCAGTGTCTCCTTCTGCTCAGGGCCTGAATGAAGAAGCGAGGTGGTAGATTGGTTCTGCCTTTCCTAATCCTGGTCTGTAATAGTCTAGCTGCTGGTCGAAGGCCAGGAACATTCACAGGCAGGCACCAATTTTCTGAACCCCACAGTCCTGGAACTCCTTTCTGAAGGGAAGAGGAAAGCCCAGCCCTAAGACGTGGCAGCTTTAACACGGGCCCTGACGTGGCCTGCAAACCAAGCCTCTGTCAGTAGCTTTGTGGGAAGCCAGGAATGATGAGGACTGGTCAAGACTGGGACGTGGCAACTCAACCCATGACTCAGCTATTTGGCTCAGAAGCAGCCAGGAGACTTCATGCAGATCCTGGGGATCTCAGATGCCCTGGTAGAAGGATCTGCTCTGCTTCCTTAGAAAAGGCTGGCCCCGATGTCAGTACAGTCTGCTGACAGTGCCCTGCTGTCCTGCACTCTCCGCTCCTGGCTCCTAGACCCCCTCCTTGGCTCTAAGAGTCCTATTTAGTGGCTTGTTCAGGGTCTATGAAGTCCTAGGAATCCCGAACACAGAAACCTCTAGGAGCTGAAGAAAGGGGGGCAGGTTTCCAGTTCTTTAGCCCTCACACTCCTGCTTCCATCTGAGGACTGCCATGTCCTGGTTGAAAAATCAGATTTTTTTTTTTTTTTTTTTGCCTCAAATTTCACGTCTGAAAGTGTTTTTACTACTTGAAGACAAATTTTGAGGGGGCGGAAGAGCTGGCTCCATGGTTAAGAACAATTGCTACTCTTGCAGAGGACCCAAGGTCAGTTCCCAGCACCCACACCAGGAGGCTCACAAACACTTGTAACTCTAGCTCCAAAAGACCCAAAGAGCTCTTCTGGCCTCTGAGGGCATCTGTATACATACTTGCATAGTACACACACACAAATATATTGTGTGTGTATATTTGTATATATATTACATATATATATATGTGTAATCTTACTGTGGTAAATAAATAAAAAAAAAAATTGAGGCCAGGCATAGTAGCCTACGTCTACAATCCCAGCACTTCGGAGACTGAGGCAGGAGGATTGCAAGATTGACAACACCCTGGTTTATATAATAATTCTAAGCCTCTCTTCTACAGAATGAAATTCTGCCCTGACAAAGAAATAAGCAACAAAACCAAAAACATTTTAAGTATGTTAATTTACGTTGAGCCCACAGGCTCTCCATGTTTCTGAAAGTTCTGGAAGGTGAGCAGGGACCACAAAAGACATGAAAATAATTTTTTTTTTTTTGCAAGTCTGCAGTTTAGCTTCTCTGGAGGCTGCAGCACCTTTAGCACAGGCTGAAACAGAGGCAGGTGGTAATAAGAAATGTGTGCTTTCAAGCCTGAAATCTAGTGTCCCCACCCAGAGACCAGTCCTTTCTCCCCTCTCAAAAGGTTTTATTTTCAAACAAAACCCACCTGCATGAGAAAGCTCCCTTGGGACCATCGTTGGGAAACTGGAGTCTTCTTTCATTAAGAGAACCCAGTGTCTCCTAGCTCCCTCCACTCCAATCC